CACCCCCACCAGGCCGCCCCCGGGACACGCCCTTTAAGCTGCCCTCGCTGTGGTTAGCCACTCCTGGGCATCTCTGCTCTTTAGAGATCCAGGGCCCCCCCTTCCTTGAGGAATGTAATGAGACGCTCCTAATCAAGCGCACAGGGAAAGCACTCTGAGACTTGAAATGCAAGTCCATGTCTCGTTTCATTTTTATTCTCTATCATACCCATTCGTCAAGCGCTGGCTCAAAAGCTCACCGCTCTTGGGCAAATCTAATGCCAGGCTATGTCTACAAAGGCATTTCTTGATGACATAGTGGGCGTTCGACCATGCCACTGTTCCGAGAAAGAATGCTTCCTCCATTCCTTCCGACGTTGACTGTAAGACCGTTTCCCCAAATGCCAACGTCCATATTGTTTTCATCTTCGCATCCCTCCGCTTCTATATTTATTTCAAGTTCCATGTCGAGAATCTACATTTATCTTTTCAATCATGTGCGTTCAGGCTTTTTGAGTCATGAGACATGATGGTAATACTTCTGCCCACCCCCACCCGTTATTTAGAATGAGAAGGGCCTGCCAGAGTGTCTAGCCTCAGAATAGCCCTCTAGCTCTGTGCCAGGAAATAGTCAGGGAAAATAATAGCTGTCCAAGCTGCTTATTAGGCATCCACAATATGCTAGACCCTATGAGCAGAAACCCCGACTTCCTGCAAAGCACTTTTGCCCCTCTTTGAGCCACTTCTGCACTGATTAAAACATAATTGGAGTCCACTGACACTGCAGAGGGACTGAGTCTGAGACCAGAGGACACAGGAGCCTAGGAGAAGCCTTGTGGGCTTGTCCACAGAGGTATGGGCCTTGCCTGGCGTCATCAACGTGAAAACGTTGTGCTGGGTCGGAGGTGAGATTTTCCTTCTGCATCAAAGAGATTGATTGACAGCACTTTGCTAGATTGCTGGTACGGCGAAGGGCTCTAACCCTCTTCGCAGAGCCTATTGGAGGATGCTGACAGACCAAATGTGACATGTCCCTGGCCTTCGTTAGTCTGTGTTCAATGTCTCTGAAAATCAGACGAAACCCTCCCTTTCAAGGGCACCCACATGAAAGAAGACACAGTGCCGATGGATCAGCAGGATACAAGCTGACCCCACCAGGGGCATGCTCTTTCTCTTGAGGCAGAAAGCCTACGCCCAGCCCAGGAAGCTTGAACGCGACTTGCCCTCTGTGCTTTAACATTTCCTCTTCACCCATCCCGTTACAGACCTCCTACCGTTACATGAGCTGCACACCAGACACACTGCTAATCTCATTTGACCTTGTTGGGACACAACCAATTCTAATCTGCTGCCAGGAGAAATTAGTT